CATACACACATAAACACAATGCATCACTAACACACACTCAATGCACACACTTACAGACACACACCTTCTATCCCTTATGCATACAAACACAGATTCACACAATGCATCCCTTACACACAACCAGAAACACACAATACATCCCTTATACACAAATACACACTGCTTCCACTACACACAAACACACTGCATTACCTGCACAAACTGGTATCCCTATACATTACATACCGTAAGCACTCATATTAGAGCCTCTACAATAACACATAACACATCCCCTACAGACTCCACTCCCTGTGAGCGAACTCATGGGTGGGTGGAACATATAAGTGGACTTATGAGTGGGTCTTGTGGGCATACTCACCGTCAGGCCCTGGGGCCCAGACCTTGAGCTGTGTAAGGGGCCCCCAAAAAATGGAGCTGCTTCCAATTCTCCCAGAACATTGATTTTTTTTGTGATCACAGTTGCAAACAGCCTCCAGAGATCCTGTTCTACACCAGACCAGTGGAGCCAAACTGCAGCCCATCATCATCCTCATTTGGTTGTAAGTAGGAAATCTAGTATATTATTAGTGACACTAATCTATAATTTACCTCACATTAAAGGGACACTATATTTCCCAGAATGACTGGAGCTTAATGAAGTGGTTCTGGTGTCTATAGCCAGTCCCTGCAGGCTTTTTAATGTAAACACACACTGTGGGCAGCACTGGCGTTAGTTCGTATGGCAGCTCATATAGGTGGGGCATTGTGATGTCACATGGGGGGCGGCAAATACAGCTGTTCCCCATGCAGCCACAGGTGCCACTGTGCTGGGAGATTGTGATTACTCTTCACTTCCTCCCAGCTTACAGAGCAGCGCATGGGAGAGAGAGAGGAGGAGGCATGATTTAATCTTACAACAAATCCAGTAAGCAAATCTTTATAAATTTGGGGGGATCAGCTCTGTTTCCACAGTTTATTGGTGTTTACTCTGATGTCTGTATTAATATTGAGGGATTTCTAAGTAGTAACATCAGTGTGTGTCAGCAGGGCCAGCCGTTGGGGTGTGCACGCTGTGCGGTCACGTAGGGTGCCATCACAACAGAGGCGCCCGGCGGACAACACAGCTCACAAGTTGGGGACACCAGCCTATTCAATTTAAACGATTCGCTGGTGGTCCACTGGTGCGCACCAGCAGTAGGTGCAGTCAGATTATAGCCTCTCCCTCGTGGTTCCGGCGCTCAGTTAGTGAGTCAGAGCACACGCTCAGAGATTCTCAGCCTGTGGTCTGACAACATTGAAAGTCAGAGCTGTGAAGGAGCGGGTATGGCAAAGAGCTACTGATTAGCATAACATCAATATCCATTATAAAACCAGGAAAAGGTGGGCACCATTGCACTGATTTGGTGGTGCAATGGGCCACTTGACTGGTTTTGCCCCCCAGGCCTAAGGCTGCCAGCCCTCCCCTGGTACAGGGAAGGGAAAATGAACACTAGGGTGGGGGTTGCACTAAAAGATAAGGGAGAGGAACATTAAGGGGAATGGGGGAAGTTCCTAATGCAACATATTTACACACAAATTGCATCCACTACACAAACACACTGCATCCACTACCCACACTGCACCACTTAATAAAAAAAAGATTTGCAAAAAAAAATGTTTTTCTCAAAACGGTTAATGTGCAGAATATTGGTAAGCTATTGGCTATCGGCCTGAAAGTTCACAGATTATCGGTATCAGCCATAACAAAATCAATATCGGTCGATCCCTAGTTCCAACCACTCTATATGTTCAGTTTAGGCTGTATGATCCCCACCTAGGATTCTTTGCATAGAAGTCTGCATGCTTAGAATATCCGGAATTCCAGGTAACTGAAATATTTATCGGGGCCCTTCTTTAGTCATGTGGATAACATGGGGGATGAGCATTCAGTTGCTTTTCTCAACCATAAACTACTGGATTGTGAAGTCAGTTGCGCGACCATAGAGAATGAGTGCCTTGCTGTGGTCTGGGAAGAGTCGTATGATCAGGAGTTTACAGTGGTAAGTGACCTTTGCTGGCTAAACCGGGTGGCAGGTGACAATAACAGACTGCTGAGATAGAGCCTGACTCTCCAGCAGTATAATTTTAACATACAATATCAAAAGGATTAGTAACATGGCAACACTGATGGATTGTCCAGGGGGACACAGGGATAGCCCTGTCCTCCTGCAGCATGTGACCTGAGTAGTAGGATCCCAGCCTGGCAGAAGGACTCTTTTGTGGGGGGGGGAAATATGTGACAAAATGGCATATGTAATGTGTATATTGGTATGTTAGTTATAGTCTAAACTGCATTGTATGCCCTATTTCAGATCCAGAGGATTCGGGCAATTCAACATGTTTTACAGACATTAGGTCTGGTGATGTAAACATAGCCTTTGTTTGAAGTGTTAACAAGAAAAAGATGTGCACCTTTAGGTGAAAAAATTCCAGCCAAAAGGATACACAGAAAGTGGGTTATTGGGGTACTAAAAAGGGCCTCACCCTTATATTAACCAATATACAAAAAAAGGAAGAGGAGACAATATCTACACACTATTACCCTCGATAAAGGCGGACGTTACCGCCGAAACGCGCGTTGGGTTTCTTTTCTTTTTGTGTGTGTAGCGGGGAGAGTAGATATGGACACTCATAGTTTTTTGTACGTTCCTTACACCTTGTGAATTATAGTCCAGGGTCTCTTAGACCTATTAAACTCTCTTCATTTCCTCCTCACTTTATTATTCTCTCTTCACTGATATCTCACTATCCTTTCGATTTACCACCTTTTTGACTTGATATATGGAGCCATTATGGCTAGGATATATCTATTTATACTTGTAGTACAATACTAGGACCATATATATATATCTTTATATCTATAGCCATTTAAATAGTGAAGAGTGAATTTATTGGCATTATGTAGACTAAACTTGAGGGAACTGGAATGCACTTTTAGTTTGCCCTTATTAGGTTCCTATGTGTAACTCTTTGGATACTGTTGCTAATTTGCTGTAATTTGAAGTAGCTTTTTTCTTACTACTTCTGAAAAGTAGCATCAAGTTACACGAATCGGATATATATTTTTCAAGTTGCTTTTTTCTGTGTTCCCTCATTTTTTGCCAATACTAGTTTGGCGTATTATGAATTCACACATGAGATTTTTATGATCTTTAATAAAACTTTATTATTTTTTTTGTAATACACGGTAGTGGGCAAATCTATTGCTCCAGAAGGGGTACTAGGATTGAGGGGATTTGTCTCCTGTGTTTCAGGGATATTGTCTCCTCTTCCTTTTTTTGTATATTTGTTTGAAGTGTTTATTAACCCTGGTTGGGGAACAAGCCTTTCCATTGGAATATCCAAGGTTATTGTGTCGTGTGATAAAAACAAAGGACCCCTGGGGATAATTAGCTCAACCTACTTTACATCCCTTAATTAGGCCTCTGGTCTCTCATTCCACGTGGGTATTTACAATAAAGGATAGTGTATAGCTCTCTATCTGTGTGTATCTGCTTACCCAATCCCAGTTCGTATTATCATTGGTGGAAATAATTGTAAATACATTTCCTTTGTGGTCTTTCAGGAAAGCTGGGAGGTCAAAAAAGTTTTATTGCACATCTGCATCAGATTATAAGCAGTTTAAAAGTGATAAGTAATGCTCAAAAGTTAACAGCATACATATAGAAAGTATGGGGAGTAACAATGCAAGGAAACAGATCAATGTTTGAGAACAAAGAATCATAAGTTATACAGTAAATAAAATTTCAGAATCTTGATGGGTATGGGTATGTATACATGTGCAGTGGGACCTCGGTTTACAAACGCCTCGGTTAACATAATTTTCAGTTTACAAATAAAAATCCATTGAAAATAATGCCTTGGTTTACAAGTTTTTTTCGCAATACAAAGCAAGTTTCCCCAGGATGCATTGCACCTGGGAGGTTTATAGCACCGCCCCATGCATGCTGGAGCCTGTTGTTTAGGGACTTTTCGGTGCATTTCTCAAGCTGTGGAAAGGTAGGGAGCTGAGCTTCGTCATTTGCATGCCTTTTATTGTGTGTTCTGCATTGTTGATTGGTTTCCATGCCAGCTCATTTTGACTTCTTTTTGACCTCCAGAACGGATTAATTGGTTTACAATGCATCCCTATGTCAAACCGCGTTTCGGCTTACAAATTTTTCGCAATAAGAAACTTCCTGGAGAACACATTAAATTCGTAAACCGAGGTCCTACTGTATTAGTTTGTGTTTTTCCCCTTTGAGCGGGGGAGTCTGGTCTAACATAGTGTCTGGTTATAGGTACATTGAGATTGTCGTAGCACGTTGGTTACACACAAACTAAGCAGCCATGCCGAAAGAGATGTTTCAGACTTACCTTGGCCCTGGCGGGCAACTGCTCGGTCTCCCTCTGTTCCGGTCCCAGCAGGTGCGACGTTCTTCAGAACGCCGGCTGCTGCAGTTTGGGCTTTTATAAGAAACTTACCTTCGCTCACATCAAAGTCATTTTGACTTCCCTGATTTCTGGTATCCTTGACTTTTGGCTTTCCCTCATCATTGTGTCTCATTCTGTATCCCTGACCTTGGCAAGTATTTTGACTATTCTCAGGTACGTTAAGTCCGGCCATTCTAAGGTCTGGTTAAACGTTATCCCTAGTCCTAGGTGTGATACTATTCTGCATGCTGGATCAACAGTAATCCTGACATTACGACAGGGCCATAGATCCTGCAGATTTGTATCAGCACATAACAGCTTGCAAGAGAAAGCTAGAGGAAAATGATCATCGTATGGATCAATTTGCCCAGGCTTTCAATACGCTCCTAATATGTACGGCTCATTTGCAGCCTGAAGTTCCTCCGGTAGTTACAACCCCGCCTACTGTACCTGTACATATAGTGTATAAGGCACCTACTATCTCCCTATCTCCACCTCCGCATTTTGAAGGTAATACTTGTAAAGCATCACCTGGCACCCCGACTGGGTACCTCCGTTGAAGGATGCTCCTAGCGCTTCCTGAGGACTCCAAGCACTGCAGCAGACACCACAACCACCGAACCAGAGAAGCATACGAATGCTGTAAGCAGCTGAACAGGAAAAGCATACAATCAGCTTACACTCCTGGCAATCAGCATACAATCCAATTCCCCCAATAACGAGACGACACTTAATTTTGAGGTCAAGCAGAACTGACTGTACTGGCACATACAGCCTCTTTTATTCCCAATCCACAAACTTAGTACTGCCCACAGGGTTTTACAGAACAACCAATAACACACGTACAAAAAAATGACTGGGACATAGCAATACCAGGGTACTCTTTATATAGGAAAGATAGGGAAGGCAAGAAAGGGGGAGGGGTGGCCTTGTATGTGAAGGATAGCATAATCTAGCCTAATAAAAGTTAGTGAGGCAAACATAGAGTCCGTTTGGGCTACGTTAGAATTTGGTAATCACACAGTAACTCGTGTAGGTGTGATTTATAGGCCCCCAGGACAAATTGAAGAGTTAGATAATCTACTAGTTGAGGAAATAGCTAAAATGACAATGAAGGGGGAAGTTATCATCATGGGTGACTTTAATCTTCCTGATGTAAATTGGAAAAAAAAAATTAGCTACTTGTGCCAGGAGCACACATATTCTAAACTCCCTACTGGGATTGTCTCTAAAACAAGTTGTTGAGGAGCCAACTCGTAAAGAGGCCATACTAGATTTAGTGTTAACAAATGGAGATTTGGTATCAGATATTACTGTAGGTGAAAGTTTAGGATCCAGTGATCATCAGTCAGTGTGGTTTAATATAAGAACAGTGACTGAGTCACACCACACAAAAACAAAAGTTTTAGACTTTAGAAAAGCAGACTTTTCTAAAATTAGAATATGGGTAGAAGAGTCATTATCAGACTGGAGCAATTTAAATGGAGTCCAAGAGAAATGGGATTATTTAAAAGTTGCACTATTGAAGGCAACAGAAAATTGCATTAGGCTTGTCAGTAAAAGCAAAAAATTCAAGAAACCACTGTGGTACTCCGCAGATGTGGCTAAAATAGTTAAAAACAAAAAGTTAGCATTTAGGAATTATAAAAAAACCCAGAGTGAGGAAGACAAAATGATATATAAGATTAGGCAGAAAGAGGCTAAGCAAGTTATAAGAGCTTCCAAATCACACACAGAAGAGAAAATAGCACAGTCAGTAAAAAAGGGGGACAAAACTTTTTTTAGATATATAAATGAGAAAAGAAAAAGTAAAACAAGGATTAGTTAAATTAAAAACAAAAGAAGGAAGGTATGTAGAAGAGGATAAAGGTCTAGCTGACTGCCTCAATGAATATTTTTGTTCTGTATTTACAGATGAAAATGAAGGAAAGGGACCTCAGTTGAGAAAAAGGATAAATGAGTCATTTATTACACGAGTTTACAGAGGAAGAGGTTCTATTTCAACTGTCAAAAGTAAAGACAAATAAGTCAATGGGACCTGATTGAATACACCCAAAGCTATTAAAAGAGCTTAGTGGTGTACTAGCAAAACCATTAACAGATTTATTTAACCAATCATTGTTAACAGGAGTAGTCCCAGAAGATTGGAAGTTAGCTAATGTTGTGCCCATTCACAAGAAAGGTAATAGGGAGGAGTCAGGCAACTATAGGCCAGTAAGCCTTACTTCAGTAGTGGGGAAAGTGATGGAAACCATGTTAAAGGATAGGATTGATGAACATCTAAAAACACATGGATTTCAAGATCAGAGACAACATGGGTTTACTTCAGGGAGATCATGCCAAACTAGTCTTATTGATTTTTTTGATTTGGTAACTAAAATTATAGATCAGGGTGGTGCAGTAGACATTGCTTACCTAGATTTCAGTAAGGCTTTTGACACTGTTGCACATATAAATAAACTGCAATCTTTAAGTTTGTATTCAAATATTGTTGAATGAGTAAGGCAGTGGCTGAGTGACAGGCAACAGAGGGTTGTAGTTAATGGAAAATATTCGAAGCTTGGACTTGTCACCAGTGGGGTACCTCAGGGATCTGTACTTGGACCCATTCTCTTTAATATTTTTATTAGTGATATTGCAGAAGGTCTTGATGGTAAGGTATGTCTTTTTGCTGATGATACTAAGATATGTAACAGGGTTGATGTTCCAGGAGGGATAAGCCAAATGGCAAATGATTTAGGTAAACTAGAAAAATGGTCAGAATTGTGGCAACTGACATTTAATGTGGATAAGTGCAAGATAATGCATCTTGGACGTAAAAAACCCAAGGGCAGAGTACAGAATATTTGATAGAGTCCTAACCTCAACATCTGAGGAAAGGGATTTAGGGGTGATTATTTCTGATGACTTAAAGGTAGGCAGACAATGTAATAGAGCAGCAGGAAATGCTAGCAGAATGCTTGGTTGTATAGGAGAGGTATTAGCAGTAGAAAGAGGGAAGTGCTCATGCCATTGTACAGACCTCACTTGGAGTATTGTACACAGTACTGGAGACCGTATCTTCAGAAGGATATTGATACCTTAGAGAGGGTTCAGAGAAGGGCTACTAAACTGGTTCATGGATTGTGGGATAAAACTTACCAGGAAAGGTTAAAGGATCTTAACATGTATAGCTTGGAGGAAAGACGAGACAGGGGGGATATGATAGAAACATTTAAATATATAAAGGGAATCAACACAGTAAAGGAGGAGACTATATTTAAAAGAAGAAAAACTACCACAACAAGAGGACATAGTCTTAAATTAGAGGGACAAAGGTTTAAAAATAATATCAGGAAGTATTACTTTACTGAGAGGGTAGTGGATGCATGGAATAGCCTTCCAGCTGAAGTGATAGAGGTTAACACAGTAAAGGAGTTTAAGCATGCATGGGATAGGTATAAGGCTATCCTAACTATAAGATAAGACTAGGGACTAATGAAAGTATTTAGAAAATTGGGCAGACTAGATGGGCCGAATGGTTCTTATCTGCCATCACATTCTATGTTTCTATGTTTCTACATTACAGAAAACACTCCCAGCAATTATACACAAAATCCTCCCATCTGCCTGTGATATAATTATGTTACACAATGGGTTAACATAATTATCACAGGCTGGAAAAATACAGTTTTTATACATATGCTATAACTTTAAAAATATACGTCCAATCATCATAAAAATAACATATTCGGAATCCGCATGCTTAAAATATACACATATCCAAAAATCAGGGCAATCGGTTCAGGGGTTAAAAAGTTAAGGGAGAGTCCTATTTGACCAAATGAAGCATGTTTTTTCTGCCCAAAACCAGTTCCACAGAGTCTTCTATCCTGGAGATAATTGGGAGGCAAAACTCCATTAACTACATGGCAGTACAAGACAGTAAAATACAATAAAATACACAAGGTTACATTTATTACATAAAATACAGACATGCAACATATCCCCAGATAGCTTAGATCTGAGCGCAAATTATTACTGAATGGCGCTCAGATCACATACATACAGTTCAATTGCCATGGAGCCAAAGTCTTTCATTATACGAATGGGCTCCATGGCATAGCTATCTGGGGTAACACTGCTCACATAGGGAAAGTACCGAATGACCCGGTTTTCGGGTCTTTGCAGGGGAAAATCCAGCATTTCAACATGGGGCCATAGTCACAGGGCAGGAGGCTGGCAATCAGTCTTCTCCAATGCCCAGTGGCGAGGTCGGTTTCACCACAATACTCAAGAATGTCAGGGATTCCTTAACTAGATTACCATTTTGAAGCCCCACCTGGGTCCTTCCCAACGGATAGAGCTAAAATTGGGTACTTAATGAACCAGTTGAAAGGTAAAGCCTTAGCTTGGGCCAATCCATTATGGGAAAGTGATAGGACTATTGCCCATAATTATCAAGAATTCCATGCAGCATTCTAATTAACGTTTGAAACATTGACAAGGGAGAACAACGCTTCCACTGCCCTAATTTATTCATCAAACCTTCCCTTATACAAAACTCTGCATTTGCAGAGGGATTATCCGAAGCTATCCTTGACAAAATTTTGCAGCCAAAAAACTAGCAGGAAGGTTTAATGAATAAATCACTTATGTGATGTATATCCCTACTTAGGAACAGAGAGTGATAACTAGAAATAGAACCAGACATATGAATATGTCACTGGCACATCGCTTGTCCAATCATGTTGTCCCTGGCCCTTCTGTACAACCTGAACCTGATCCTATGCAGTTAGGGGTTATGAGACTGTCAGAGGCAGAGAAACAGTTTAGGAGAAAAGAGGGCCTCTGCCTATACTGTGGCAAGAAAGGAAACATAAGAAATACTTGTCCCAAAACGTACGCACCTAAGAACCATTAGGGGACCGGTTTTAGGTGTGATGTATATGTCCCCTGGTACTAACTAACCAAAGTAGATTTCTCCTTAGAGTTGCTGCTCAAATTAATAAGATAAGTTTTACATGTAACACCCTGATTGACTCAGGCGCTGCAGAAAACTTTATCAATCGGCAATTTGCCAGTAAACAACTCCTACCCATCAAGGAGAGATCATCACCCCAATGGCCATTGATGCCATTGATGGGAGACCACTCTCTCAGCCTTTAATTACCTACGAAACACTACCTATGACTACCACGATAGGAATGTTACACAAAGAACTCATCACATTCCAGATAATTGCTTCCCCTTCTTGTCCCATTATACTTGGATTCCCATGGCTTATTAAGCATAACCCCCGTGTTGATTGGGCTAAAAGGGAGATACTGGAATGGGGTAAAGAATGTAAAGAGAGATGTATGTTACCTATTACTAAAAGAGTGGGTATCGTTACTCTACCTACTCCTACGCCTCAGTCTACCGAAATTCCTGTGCATTATAGGGAAGTTAAAGAAGTGTTTAATAAAAGTCACACTGATATGCTACCCCTCACAGATACTAAAATTGCTTAATAGTTCTGTTACCCGGCACTAAACCCCTTAAAGGGGGAATATATACCTTATCGCAACAGGAAAGTAGAGTTATGAAAGAATACATTAAAAAGTCTCTACAAAAAGGCCACATACGTAAATCTTCTCCTGCAGGTGCAGGGTTCTTTTTTGTTACCAAGAAAGGAGAGTTACGGCCATGTATTGATTATAGGGCATTGAACAAGATCACCATCAAAAATACTTATCCCATTCCCCTTATCTTAGAATTGTTTGAAAGACTCCAGGACGCTAAGGTGTTTACCAAA